GAAGGCGTGGGGCGGGGCACCTCCGCGATATCCCTGGCCAGGGTCTTCCCACGGACATCAAGCAGAGACGCGGGGACCTTTGGCCTCGTCCGGGTGGAGGGGCGCCCCCTGCAGGCTGGCTCCAGAATGGCCACCCGGAGAGGCCCCAAGGGTGCTCGGGTGCAAAATCCTCCGAGTGAGCTTCAGGGCCCACGGCTGTCGCGCCCTCGCCGGGGCTGGGCCTCCCCTTCCTGCCCAGAGCGCGGGAGGCCTCGCTCCGCCTGGCCCCGAGCCACGAGGGGCATGGCCAGGCCACCTGCGTTCACACGGGGGTCCCTCGGCCCAGCGCCCAGGGGGGCTGCAAGGCCCACCCAGGGCAGGCACACAGGCTGCAGGTCTCTCTGCCGGCTCTGCTCAGCAGGTGGGGACTGGCCGCAGCCCCAGGGAGGAGGACACCTGCTCTTACTGGAGGCGTCTGGGAGGAGCTGATGAGCTGCGGGGGCACCCCCCCCCCCCGGCGTAGAGGGAGCTGGGCTGCCAGGAAATTTGCCCCCCCCGGGAGCCACTGTGGATAATTGTGTCCCCCGAGGAGCCGGGAGCTGGCCTGGGCACGCTGGGCCCCGGGGCCCCGCTCCTGAGCTAATGAACAGGACAGTCCCTCCAGGAGGCCCCGGCTGGCACTACTCTCAGGTCTGGAGACATCCAGCGCTGTCCGGGAAGCCTGCCTTCGGTTTTCCGCCCTTCCAGCGGCAAAAGCAGACGGCCAGGCTGCAGTTTCAGAGCACAAAGCCAAATGGCCCTTGGGCAGCCTGGCCCTGCCACCTCTCTCCCACGAGGTACTTGGGCTAGCCCCTGGGCCCTGGCCCCTCTCCCACGAGGCACCTGGGCAGCCGGTTCCTGGGCCCTCCGTCTCCCACAACGGAACCCGGGCGCAGCCTAGGCCTTAGCCCCTCTCCCACGAGGGGCACCTGGGAAGCCTGACCTTGTGCCCCTCTCACACACAGGACACCTGAGCAGCCTGGCCCTGGACCCCTCTCTCCACAAGGCACCAGGGTAGCCCTAGCCCTGGCCACCTCTCCCAAAAGGCACACCTGAGCCGCTGGCCCCTGGCCCCTCTCTCTCTCCCACCAGGCAACCAGGGTAGCCTGGCCCTGGCCACACTCTCCCCACAGGGCACCAGGGTAGCCTGGCCCTGGCCCCTTCTCCCACAGTGCACCAGGGTAGCCTGGCCCTGGCCCCCTCCCACAGGGCACCTGAGCAGCCTGGCCCTGGCCCCTCTCCCACAGGGCCCAGGTCACCTGAAGGCAGCCTGGCCCTGGCCCCTCTCCCACAGGGCACCTGAGCAGCTGGCCCTGGCCCCTCTCCCACAGGGCACCTGAGCAGCCTGGCCCTGGCCCCTCTCCCACAGGGCACCTGAGCAGCCTGGCCCTGGCCCCTCTCCCACAGGGCACCAGAGCAGCCTGGCCCTGGCCCCTCTCCCACAGGGCACCAGGGCAGCCTGGCCCTGGCCCTCTCCCACAGGGCACCAGGGTAGCCTGGCCCTGGCCCCTCTCCCACAGGGCTCCAGGGTAGCCTGGCCCTGGCCCCTCTCCCACAAGGCACCAGGGTAGCCTGGCCCTGACCCCTCTCCCACAAGGCACCAGGGTAGCCTGGCCCTGGCCCCTCTCCCATAGGGCACCAGGGCAGCCTGGCCCTGGCCCCCTCTCCCACAAGGCACCAGGGTAGCCTGGCCCTGGCCCCTCTCCCACAAGGCACCAGGGTAGCCTGGCCCTGGCCCCCTCTCCCACAAGGCTCCAGGGTAGCCTGGCCCTAGCCCCTCTCCCACAAGGCACCCTGAGCAGCCTGGCCCTGGCCCCTCTCCCACAAGGCACCAGGGCAGCCTGGCCCTGGCCCCTCTCCCACAAGGCTCCAGGGTAGCCTGGCCCTGGCCCCTCTCCCACAAGGCACCAGGGCAGCCTGGCCCTGGCCCCTCTCCCACAAGGCACCAGGGCAGCCTGGCCCTGGCCCCTCTCCCAAAAGGCTCCAGGGTAGCCTGGCCCTGGCCCCTCTCCCACAAGGCACCAGGGCAGCCTGGCCCTGGCCCCTCTCCCACAAGGCACCAGGGCAGCCTGGCCCTGGCCCCTCTCCCACAAGGCTCCAGGGTAGCCTGGCCCTGGCCCCTCTCCCACAAGGCACCAGGTAGCCTGGCCCTGGCCCCTCTCCCACAGGGCACCAGAGCAGCCTGGCCCTGGCCCCTCTCCCACAAGGCACCAGGGCAGCCTGGCCCTGGCCCCTCTCCCACAGGGCACCAGGGTAGCCTGGCCCTGGCCTCTCTCCCACAGGGCACCTGAGCAGCCTGGCCCTGGCCCCTCTCCCACAAGGCACCAGGGTAGCCTGGCCCTGGCCCCTCTCCCATAGGGCACCCAGGTAGCCTGGCCCTGGCCCCCCGACCCCCTGCCTCAGCGACTCAGCTCCTTCTGCCATTCAGGGGGTCCTGAGCAGGGGGACCCCGTCTCCTGCCCCTCCTGTTCCTGGCTGCACTGCGGTCGGCCAGGCAGCTGTTTGCAGCCTGTAGCTGTTTGCGACTATGTGTGTGTGCATGTGCCCACGTGTGTGCGTGTGTGTGCATGTGTGCTTGTGTGGGTGCAGGGTGTGCATCTCTGTGTCCTTGTATGTGCTCATGGGTGCAGGTCTGCATGTGCCTCTATTCATGTGTGTGCGTGCGCTTGTGTGCACGTGTGTGTCTGTGTCTGAGTGCAGGTGTGTGCATATCTGCATTTGCTGGTGTGTGTGCACGTGTGTGTCTGTGTGCATGTGTGTGCATGTGCCTGTGTATTTGTGTCCCTGTGTGTCCCTGTGCCCATGTGTGCACACAGGACTGTGCATGTGTGTGTGTGGATGCAGGGTGTGCGTGTGTGTGCCCATGTGTGTGCACAGGTCTGCGCGTGCGTCTCTGAGTGTACATACGTGTGCACGTGCATGTGTGTGTGCATGTGTGTGCGCACGCCTTCCTGGGGGCGGGGCCACGTCCTCGCTCACCTCTGCAGCTGCCCCCTGGTTACCCCCCCTTGCTGTCCCTCACTCCGGCCGCTTCCAGCCCTCCACCCCGCCCACCTCGCAGCCGTTCCCCAAGACTGAGCCAAGAGAAGCCCCTCAGTGGACGCGCAGCTTGGCCCAGAAACACGAGTGGGGCGCCCGTGACGCCTCCGACCCACTCCCCGCTCAGGGCGGCCACTGGGGGAGTGAACCAGCGGACAAACCCTCTCTAACCCGCCTTTCCGGTAAACACATAAATCTTAAATAAACAGGTTTAAACCCTTTCCAGGGCGGTGCCACACTGACCTCACAGGGCAAGTCCCGGTCACAGACCTGGGCCCAGCCCATCGGGACACGGGGCGGGCCCTCCTGCGTCCACTTCCGGTGTGGACCTGACTGCATTGGGGAGCCCCCCCACCCCGCAAAACCTGGCCTCCGAGGTTAGCGCGGGAGTCTGCGTGCGCCAGGCAGGGGAGAGGAGAGACGCGCAGGCTGGGGGGGGGGTGTCTCGTGAGCGCGTGGAGACCCTCAGGCTCGGCCTTCCCCTCCGCGAGTGGCCGCTGTCAGGGCCGGACGCGCGCGGGGATTTAAGGTGCGTAAAGGCTAAAGTGGGGGCCGGGTGGACCCCGGCCCGCCTCGCACAGCGGGCGCCCTGGGACGGCGGGCGCCGGGCCGCTCCGCTTGCCGTCCGGCTCGCGCCGAGCCTCCTGTCCCTTCCTCCCTCGGAAGGTCCAGTGCTGTGTCCAGCCGCGTCGTCGGCCCCGGGACACCCCTGGCGCCCTGGGGTGTGTGCAGCCTGGTGCACGCCGCGGCAGGAGCCGCGCCACCTGCTGGCCGGGTCCCGCTCTGCACCTGGGGCTGCTGTGTGGCCTGTGGGGCACCTGCACCAAGCCCTGGCATTGCTCCCGGAGCCTGCGGGAGCCGGGGGCGGCCGAGAGGAGGGGGCGACCCGCACCTCACCTCCAAATGCAGCCGTCGGGGTCCCGCCAGCCTACGTCGCTGGCCGTGTCAACTTCCTGCCTTCACCAAGGGCAGTTTTGCAGGGGTGGGGCGGGGGCTGTGGAGGGGGTGCTCAGCCTCTGCCTGCAGCGCCCGCATCCCACGTGGGCGCTGGTTCTAGTCCCGGCTGCTCCACTTTCCACCCAGCTCTCTGCTGTGGCCTGGGAAAGCAGCAGAAGATGGTCCAGGTCCTTGGGTCCCTGCACCCGCTTGGGAGACCTGGAAGAAGCTCCTGGCTCCTGGCATCGACCTAGCCTAGCCCTGGCCGCTGTGGCCATCTGGGGAGTGAACCAGCGGATGGAGGACCTCTCTCTCTCTCCCCCTCTCCATCAGTCTGGCTTTAAGATTAATAAAGAAATCTGAAAATCCATAGAGGCGTTACCGGGCCATTAACGCAGCACAGCACCCGAGCCAGCGGCCGTGTTGCCAGGCCCGGGGCAAGGCCAGGACCTGCAGACGCCGACGGGTGAGGCAGGGACCCTCGGGACCAGCGGACTCCGCACAGGGTGCGCGGACCCAGCGGACGATGAAGATGCAGAAGGCGGGGCGGTGCCGCAGGGCCCAAGACAGCGGAGGCTGGAAGTGGCCCCGGCCGCCCACGCGCCCGGGCAGGGTGCCCGCCATGCACCCAGCGTCCCCGTGGCAGCGGCCAGCTGGCCAGGCGTGGACTTGGGAGACGCAGAGGGCAGGGGACGCTCCCTCCTCACGGGCGGGCAAGCGCGGGGCCGTCTCGCGTCCTGTCGGCGCCGTGTCTCCCCAGCAGCGCCGCTGCGTCGCCCGCACCCAGAGAGCGCAGGTGTCGCTTCCGCTGCGCTGCCTGATGTCCGGCTTCCAGGGCGGGCAGCGGGAGGCCGCACCGCGTGGTCACCCCGCAGGACCAGCCAGGGCCACGCGCCGCGTCCCCCAGCCCCGCCCCACGGCAGCGCCCCTCGACTCCCAGGCCCCGCCCCGCCCGGGCGACGCCCCGCCCCTCCCCGTCCCCGCCCTCCCCTCCCCGGCCCCGCCCCTTCCCTTCCGGCCCTGCCCCCGCACGGGCTCGGGTGGGCTGCGGGGCCCGGCGGGAGGAAGCCGGGGCCGAGGTCGCGGGCGCTGCCTGCCCGGCGGGACTCGAGCTTCCCAACCCCGCCAACGCGCTCGGACTGCGAGACAGCGCGTGCGCCCCAGAGGTTCCGTCACAGCCGCCCTGAGGAGAGAGCGCGGAGGAGTCCCAGGAGGACCCCGCAGCCGCCACCCAGGACACCCCGGCTCCTGCAGCTCAGGACCCGCGGCTGACCCCCGGCACCTTTGCAGCCTGGTCTCCTAGCAACGCCCAACATGGCCGCTCCGCGAGGGCTCCTGGGGAATGTAGTCTTTTGCATCCAGCTAAGTCGCGCTGAACTACACTTCCCTGGGTGCTCTGCGCGTGCTTCTCGCGTCCTGGCGAGACTCTTGGCCGGAACCCACCTGATGGGTTGGGCTCTCGCGTGTCCTGCTGGGACTTGTAGTTTCTTGCTGGAAGACTCGCTCCCTGGCACCCAGGCTGGGGCAGAGGCGAGACTACAAGTCCCAGGGGGCGCGGCGTGGTCACCAGAAGGGCGGGGGGTACGAACCAGGACCCCGAAGGGCTGCGAGGTGAGTGTGGGGCCCCGGGGCGGGCGAGAGGCTAAGGGGCTCGGCGGGTCTGCTTCTGGGCCGGCGCCTGGGGACGGCCCAGGTGGGGCGGGCGGCCGGCTGGGCCGCCGCGCGCTCGCGTTCCGCTTGCGTTCCCCTGCTCGGGGGAGTGGGCGGAGTTCCGCGTTGCGGGAGCGCAGGGCCCGCGTCCCCAGGGAAAGCAGCCCCCCGGGCGGTCCCCGTGCGGGCGCGGGCTGCGGACAGCGCCGGTGCGGACGCGAGGGCCAGGCTGTCCGGATGTGGCTTTGCGCGCTTCCTCTGGCGAGGCCCCGGCGCGGTGGGCGCCCCGATGGGGAGGAACGCAGCTTCGCGCGCGGGACCCTCCGGGGCGCTACCGGTCCCCGGGCCGGGCTGGGCCCTCTGTCCGCGAGAGACGCCGCGCGGGGTCGTGCCCGGCCGGGAGCGGAGGGCGCGGGGCGTCTCCTGCCTCGCGCGTCCTGGCCCTCGCTGCTTCGCCCACTGTCCGCCTGGCTCTGCTGTCCGGGCTGCCTCTGGGTGGGCTCCGGGTGGTCCAGCGTGCCGGGAGGGGGAAGTTGCAGGGAGGGCCGCGCGGTTCCTGTGCAGCCAGAGCCGATGCATCGGTTTTCCATCAAAGCGCGACAGGAGGCCTTTGCCTGTTAGGGCTGGGAGCGGCTTCCGCGTCTCGGCTGCAGCTGCCAGCCCCTGACCCCTCGTGGGCACCCGTCACCCGTGGGAGCCGTGGGAACGCACAGCTTTCCAGAGCGTTGTAGGAATTCGTTTTGCCCCGCGGTTTATCTTTTTGTCTGGGGTGAGATTTTTGAAACAGGTGGGGCGCGGTGTGGGTTGTCCAGGTGTCACATCAGGTGGATTTGCTCCATCAGCCCCCCCCCCCCAGGAAGGAGCAGAGGTGCCTGGTGCCCCTCCCCCGTGTCTCCCACCCTTTGCTCAGTGCCGGGCCCTGGTTTTGAGAGCTGATCGGGTGGGCTGCTAGCGTTTGTGACCCTGGCGAGTGTGGGATCCGGGCGTTCTTGTCCCTCGGGTGGGGGGAGCCATCCGTCCCTGAGGGGAGGCGACCCAGCCCACGCCTGAGGATGTCACTGCTTCAGGTTCAGAGAAGTTGCAGAGACCAAGTTTTCCCAGAGAACAACTCCACAGCTGCAGGACCCTGCCCCGCCTGCACCCCCCTTGGGGACCCCAGCGCCCCCTGGGCTGTCAGCCTCCAGGCCGGGCGCCTCCCGCGCGCGCGTGTTCACAGTCAGATCGGGTTGGGTCTGAGTGTTGAGGTGCAGGGGTGAAGCCGCTGCCTGCACTGCCGGCATCCCATGTGGACCCCAGCTCGAGCCCCCCTGCCAGCCCAGCTTCCCGCTAATGCGCCTGGGCCGGGCCGTCCCTGGCGGGGCCCCAGTGCGGGACCACCCCTCCCCAGGTGCGTTAGCAGGGGCTGTGTCGGCCCGCGCCGCCCCACGATGGCGCAGAGGTTTCTGTGGTTCTGGTTCTTGGGTTCAGCCTCCTGCTCCAGCTGTCATTTCCTGTGTGCGAGCTGAGGTCCTGATTTTTGTTCAAGTTTGTTTATGTATTTATTTTATTTGAATCCAGAGCTACAGAGACAGAGGTCTCATGTCTGCTGGTTCACTCCCTAAGTGCCCACAGCTTCAGGGCTGGGCCAGGCCACAACCAGGAGCCTGGAGCTCCCTCCAGGTCACCCTTGGGTGCAGCAGCGCTCAGATCCGGGTGCCCAACCTTGGGCTTCTGGTGCCTGGGCTGGGTTTGCTGTCCTGACGTGGCCTTGGGGACGCCTCTCAGCACAGAGTGGTCCCTGACCCATGGCGAGTGTGGTCTCTGCGACATTGACTTCCTGTGGGTCTCCAGGGGCCATCTTCGCAGGGTAGAAGGCGGGAGGTGGCCGGGACAGCAGGTGTTGTCACCAGGGGACAGCGGACCTGTGGGGGGAGAGCGGGGCTGTGGGGGGGACAGCGGGGCTGTGGTGGGGAGAGCGGGGCTGTGGGGGGGGACAGCGGACCTGTGGGGGGAGAGCGGGGCTGTGGGGGGGACAGCGGGGCTGTGGTGGGGAGAGCGGGGCTGTGGGGGGGACAGCGGGGCTGTGGGGGGGACAGCGGGGCTGTGGGGGGACAGCGGGGCTGTGGGGGGGACAGCGGGGCTGTGGGGGGGACAGCGGGGCTGTGGGGGGGAGAGCGGGGCTGTGGGGGAGAGCGGGGCTGTGGGGGGAGAGCGGGGCTGTGGGGGGGACAGCGGGGCTGTGGGGGGGAGAGCGGGGCTGTGGGGGGAGAGCGGGGCTGTGGGGGGAGAGCGGGGCTGTGGGGGGGAGAGCGGGGCTGTGGGGGTAGAGCGGGGCTGTGGGGGGGGACAGCGGGGCTGTGGGGGGGTGAGCGGGCTGTGGGGGGACAGCGGGGCTGTGGTGGGGACAGCGGGGCTGTAGGGAGGAGAGCGGGGCTGTGGGGGAGAGCGGGGCTGTGGGGGGAGAGCGGGGCTGTAGGGGGAGAGCGGGGCTGTGGGGGGGACAGCGGGGCTGTGGGGGGGAGAGAGGGGCTGTGGGGGGACAGCGGGGCTGTGGGGGGAGAGAGGGGCTGTGGGGGGACAGCGGGGCTGTGGGGGGGAGAGCGGGGCTGTGGGGGGACAGTGGGGCTGTGGGGGGACAGCAGGGCTGTGGTGGGGACAGCGGGTCTGTAGGGAGGAGAGCGGGGCTGTGGGGGGACAGCGGGGCTGTGGGGGTAGACGCTGACGCTTGCAGAGGCCCGAGCTGTGCCAGGCTCCCAGCCCGGCCTCCTGCAGGGTGGGGCCCCTCATGCACGGGCAGTGTGTGAATCCCCACCCGCCTTCCTTTCTGATGTGGGTGCTGGAGTCTGTGTCCACCTTGGCTCAGGGGCCCACAGCCCTTCCCAGACCCCAAGATGGGCCAGCCAGGGACAGGCCGCAGGTGGCGGGAGCGAGTGAGGCAGAGAGAGGCCTCTGGAAGGCCCCGGGCGGCTGACCTCTGTGCAGGCTTCCCCTCTGCTCACCCTTCCCCAGATGCCTGCAGCAGCCGGGCTGGGCCATCAGCGCTCCTTGCCCAGGCCTGCACTGGCTGGAAGCTGCAAGCCAGGGGCTTCCCCATCGGGGGTCCGTGACTTAACCGGCGGGCTGGACGCCCACCCCCAGGCACTGAGATGTTTCTCCAGCCACACCCTGTGGGCAGACAGAAACCTGTTAAAACTGGAGATTCCAGAGTGGTCGTGTGGCCTAGTGGTCGGAGCCCGCGTGGGTCGGTGCCTGGGTTGGGTTCCAGGCTCTGGCTCCTGACTCGTTGCGCCCTGGGGGGCTGCAGGTGATGGCCCCAGTGTGGGGGTCCCACCATCCTCAGCAGACTTGGGTGGAGCTCCTGGCTCCTGGCTTTGGCCCAGCCCAGGCACTGTGGGCGTCCGGGTAGTGACCCAGTGGGTGGAGTTCTCTGCCCATCTGCCTCTCACTGACACAGGTGGGTCAGCGTTGTTAGTGCTGCAGATGCAGTTTGGGGCTGGGTCTCGTGGTCTCCGAGTTCCGCGTTCTTGGGGTTGAGCCCCCCACAAGATGGGGGTGGGTGGCCAGTGTGAGGGGCCTCGCAAGGGCAGGGCATGGTCCGTACCTGGGGGTGACAGGAAGATGTCCACAAGGCCGAGTCCAGTGTCCACATGCGTGTGGTCTACCAGGAGTCCTGTGGGGCCTCTGGTTGCTGGCTGTGGGCTTCACCTCTCGCTTGATCTGCAGGCCTTGGAGCTAGGCATGGTGGCCACAGGCCCGTCCCGTGACCTCTCAGCATAGCTGACCGCTGACCACTGACCGCCCGGGGCGGGGAGGATCTGATGTCTGTAGCTCTCGTCCTGCAGGGGCAGGTAAGGGGCCCCTGCACCTGTGCCCACCCACTGCCCCACAGGCCCAGTCCGCATGGCACTCCCCCCCTCACAGGCCCCGCCTCCTCCTCGCAGGCCCCGCCTCCTCGCGCCCCCTGGCATGGCTCTGTGGTGCCTTGTATTCCTGGCTGGCCTTCTGGTAGGTGTGGCCGGCAAGTCCACCGAAAGCATGGTGAGTGACCGTTGTGGCCCCAGTCGCTGACACGAGTGGGTTAGAACCTCCACGTGGGGTGGTGGGCTTCCCCCAGGGCCTCTCCCTTCAGCCGCGGGAGTACCTGAGCCCCTGCTCCAGGGACGCGAACTGGGTTCACTGTCCTGGACGCAGGGGCCTGGACCGTGCTCAGGGCAGCAGACGCTGGCTCCTCTTCCCGCATGAGTCCCTCTCGACCCTGGGGAAGCTTCTTTCTGCTAAACCTGACTTTTTTTAAAAAAAAAGATTTATTTATTTGAAAGTCTAAGATGCAGAGAGGCAGAGGCAGAGACAGAGAGGTCTTCCATCTGCTGGTTCACTCCCCAAATGGCCACAGCGGCTGGGGCTGCGCCAGGCTGAAGCCAGGAGCTTCTTCCAGGTCTCCCACTTGGGTGCAGGGACCCAAGCACTTGGGCCATCTTCCAGTGGTTTCCCAAAGTGTGTTAGCAGAGAGCTGGATGGGAAGTGGAGCAGCTGGGACTTGAACTGGTGCCCGTATGGGATGCCGGCATCACAGGTTGTGGCTTTACCCGCTGGGCCACAGTTCTGGCCCCTGAACCTGACCTCTTGCCTTGGCCAAGACGGAGTCTCCTCGCCCACGGCTGACCAGAGCCAATGCTGCCTGCGAGTAGCTGTTGTTGGGGCTGGCGGGCAGTGGACCTGAGCTAGGGCTGGGCCCCCTCCCTGGCTGGGCCCCCTCCGATGCCCATCACCATCAGACAGAAGCCAGGTCCTGGGAGCCACAGAGCTGAAGCCTCAGCCAGCCCCGTGGTCACTGGGTGCAGCCCCCCGCCCCTGCTCACAGCACTGCCCACTGGGGTCCCGCCAGGTGGGAGGCCGTGGCTGCAGGCAGCTCTGCCCCAGGCCAGGGAGACCCACATACTGGAGAAAGTCCCTGAGCTCCACCCTCCCCAGGGGACTTTAGAGGGTGGGGCAGGAAGACCCCACCCCGAAGGTTCCCAGGTGAGGCTGGGACACTCCCTGCCCCGTGCTGAGGGCTGCTGGGGGGACACCTCTTCCCTCCCCCGGCACCCGGCCCAGGGCTGAGCACCAGGAACGCCAGCTTCACCAAGACCGGGTCTGTGGGACTCTGGGACGCTTGCGGGTCTTACAGCCCAGCGATGGACGCAGGAATGACCGCCTGTCTCTGCATCCTGCACCCTGGGAGCTGAGGCCAGGGGCTTCCTGCTGGGCCCCCGGGTCAGGCAGAGGTCAAAAGCCTGCTTGAGGAGATGGGTGGGAGGGGCCGACTCCCTCCTGCACCTGCTCACGGCCCACAGGCCGTGTGTGGGGGTGGGGGCCTGAGCCCCAGCCTCCAGTGTGGTCCAGCCTCTGGGTGGACGCAGAGCTGCTGCTTGGACCAGCCCCTGGGGTTGCTCTGGCCCAGCCCTGGAGTCTTGCTGGACAGGCCTCGCCCCCATGCTCCTGGCCACAGGCTCACGAGGAGGGGTGAGGGCAGTGACATGAACACTGTGAGGTGACCAGACCGTCGTCCAGGCTCACAGGGCCAGCCCAGCCCCCCTCCGTCAGGCAGGCCCTGTGGGTTCTGTCCGGGGCTGAGGTTCTCCCTAGGTCTGTCCTGACGCTGCCTCTGGGCATTGAGATGCCAGCAAGGGGCCCCCTTGGGCGGGCCCACGCTGGAACCTCACAGACGTGTCCCCGTCCCCAGGCCCAGCAGCCCGAGTGTTGTGTGGACGTGGTGGACGTGAACACCAGCTGCCCAGGCACGAGCCTCTGTGGCCCAGGTGAGTCCCAGAGCAGCGGAGGGCTCGGTGGGGCTGTCCTGTCGGGGCCTCTTCTCCCCGGGCTCTGGGCCACCTGGCGGGTGAGGAGCCTGTGCCCTGTGCAGGCTGTGCAGCGTCCATGCCCTCGGCCGCCCTCCCTGCAGCCCCGTCCAGCAGCCTCGGGAGACGGCGCTGGTGGTCACTGCAGTCAGGGGTGGTGGCTCCTGGCGCCTCGTGGGTGTTCACGTCTAGCCAAGGCAGGGAGGCCTTGGTGGGAAGGGGGACGGGGGCAGGGAGCAGCCGGGGGGGGGGATGAGCCCCCCCAGCTCCTCTCACGGCTGCTGCGAGGGCGGGGCTCCCACATCCTCCAGCCGTCCAGTCCTGGCACTGGGCCCTGCGGGTCAGCCAGAGTGCCCGGAATGCATTCGTGTTCTGAATGAGTTCTACAAACTCAGAATACGTAGGAATTCCCAGAAGACCGCTGACCTAAGGGCTCTGCTCTCGCCGCCCGCACAGGCTGCTACCAGCGCTGGAATGCCGACGGCAGTGCCAGCTGCATCCGCTGCAGGAACGCCACTGTGCCGGCCCCCGGTGGCTCCGCGTGCAGAGGCTGTACGTGCCCCGCCCCCTCTCAGGGTTCGCACACCTGGGGAGGGTGAACCCCGGGTCCTGTGTCCATTCGGGATGCCCCACGGGGGTGAGGGCTGCTCTGCCCACGGTCCCCACTCGAGTTGCTGATTCATTTTGTACACGGGGTTCTCGGTGGGTCTGGTGCCTGGCTGGGCCTCCCACGACTCCCCACGACCAGGAGTGCAGGGATGTCCCGGTAAGTCCTGGAGGAAGGGGCATCGTCAGACCCCTGCTGATGTGGCCATGGCAGGGCACGTCCAGGGTCCAGATCAACCTTGGACCCTGGCCAGGAGCTGGTTCATGAGCCAGGCCCAGCAGGGTCCAGAGCCCTGGGGCCAGTGCGCATGGGGGGGCACGTCCATCCCTGCCACACCTCTCAGCCCACTGCCCACATCCTCTGTCCACACCAGCTTCACAGGTGGGCGCTGGCCCCAGACCACGGAACAAGCTGGTCACTGGGACGGAGGCTGCTCTGAGGTCTCTGCTGTCCCGTTCTGGGGGGCAGAACAGAAGCGCCTGCCACGCTGCTGGCCTGGTCCTCGGAGGGTGTGAGCCATCTCCTGGGGAGCCTGTGACGTAGGCAGGGTGCGAGGGCACCAGCCTTCCTCCCTTCACTTCATGCAGGGAGGCTTTAGGCCTGGACGGCCAAAGTGGCCACACAGCAGCAGCGTTTTAGGGTGGGGTCAGTTCAGAGAGGGCCCTGGCTTCCTGCGTCCAGTGCTGGCCAGACAGCAAGGCCCACGCCCCTGGTTCAGCTGGTCCTCCCCAGATCACCTGCCCAGAGGCAAGGCCAGGGCGGCCTGCAGCCTGTCCAGGGCCACAGCAGGGAGGGTCCGGTGTTCCTGGGATGGGACTGGCCAGGGCCGCCGCCTCTAGCACTCTGCCCCAAGCCTTGGAAAAGCCCGAGGCCCCCAGGCCTGAGCCCTGCTGTGCCGGCCACTGTGAAGGTGCAGGGTGGGGGGCCGGGAGCTCTGGGCCATGCCTCCTCAGGGGCCCCTGTTCTCCCGCAGGGGGCCCCCCCGTGGCTGCCTCCCTCTTCCTGGGGACATTCTTTGTCAGCTCGGGCCTCATCCTCTCCGTGGCCGGCTTCTTCTACCTCAAGCGCTCCAGTAAGCTCCCCCGGATCTTCCTCCGAGGAGACAAAGGTACTGCTTTCCTGGGGTGCGGCCCGGGGCAGGAAGGGGCGGGGCTCTTTGGGAGATACTTCCTATGGGGGAGGGCACTGCACAGAGGGCATGGCTGCTGTCCCAGCACCCAGGGCCTTCCTTAAGGGTCCATGCTGCACCTGCTACCCCCTTGGGCCTGGGCCCCCGCCATTCAGAAGTTCCGGGGTTCCAGACACGGGGCCCTGCCCTCTGCGTCCTTGCTGGGCTATGGTCCAGCTAGCAGGGCTGACCCCTCCAGGGCCAGTAGGCAAGGGCCCATCAGAGCCCGAGACCCCTGTCCAGCCTACCTCAGCCAACTCAGGGCACTGTGGGTGGTGGTTGTGATTCCCAAACCCTGAGGGGCAGAGGCTGGACCGCCCAGAGCTGGCGTGGGCAGCTCCATCCCTCTCCCTACTCAGTGTCTCTGCCTCCCTGGAGCCCCAGGGCCTCGCGACAGGGAGAAGCCAAGTTGGCACCATCACCGTGTGCGAGGGAGAAACAGCACCGGTGGCCGGGCCCGGGCAGTGGTGGGCGCAGTTGCTTAGGGTCCAGGGTGACTGTGGCTTCCCCCCAGCAGCCCCAGCCCTGCAGCCTGGCGAAGCTGTAAGTAACCCCCTGTGCTGCGTGGGCCGGGCGGGGCCTCCTGCGCCATGCAGGCCGTCCAGGGCCGCCCAAGCTCTCACGACGCCGCTTCTCCCTTCCAGGCCGCCATGATCCCCACACCACTGTCCTCAGGTAAGGGCTGCTGTCGCGTCTCGGCTTCTTGTCCTGGGCATGGTGCCCACCTGGGGTGTGTGGCGTCTCCAGGTCCTAGCCGCCATCCTGGCATCCCAGGGAGGTGTTCCACGGCCAGCGCCAGGGCCTGGCTCAGTGGATGCCCTACAGCCCCCGCCCTCTGATCAACCCATGTGGCTCCTCTGGTTCTGACGCAGCCTCCCGGGGCGTCTGGAGCAGGAGGAAACAGCACCTCCACAAGCTTGCGGAGAAGAGACCCTGGTGTGGCTCCACACCTACTGCTCTGAGCCTCTGGCCCTGCTGAGCCCGAGCCGTCCCCGCCTCTGCCCAGCCCAGCTCTGACCCTGTCTGAATGCCCAGGCCGTCCCCGCCTCTGCCCAGCCCAGCTCTGCTCTGTCTCAGCGCCCGGGCCGTCCCCGCCTCTGCCCAGCCCAGCTCTGCTCTGTCTCAGCGCCCGGGCCGTCCCCGCCTCTGCCCAGCCCAGCTCTGACCCTGTCTGAATGCCCAGGCCGTCCCCGCCTCTGACCGGCTGGCTCTGCTCTGTCTCAGTGCGGAAGCCACGCTACATCAGGCGGGAGCGGCCCCTGGCCAGGACCACGGACCCTGCTGCCTTCTCGGTGGAGGCCCGCGTCAGCAACGTGTGACCTGGAGCCATCTGAGACAAGCCCAGCACTGGCGTCCATGTGCCTCCTGCTGACAGGTGCTGAGTGCAGCCATGCCCAGCCGTGCTACTTGGCCTGAACGCGCTGGGAGTGAGTGGTCTGGCCCTCTGGGAGCCCAGGGCAGGCTGCACTCCTCCAGCTCCTCCCCGCCAGCAGGGAGGATGTGGCCTGGGAACCAGCTGCCCGACAGATGCCCTCCCACTCTTGCTGTGGCCGTCTCAAACCTGCGACCACACGTTTCTGGGAGTCACGGAGTTGAGCTGCCTGGGTTGATTGGCATCTTAATGAGCGGAAAGTCTTCCACGATGCGGGGGGGCTAGAGGCGTGGTGGACGCTCGTCCACCCCAAAGCAGGCGCTGGCCTGTGCACATCAGCCTGAGGCTGTTGGAGCCCGTGTCCAAAGCACCCAAAGACACGTTCAGCTTCAGGGCCTGTAGGTTGGTGGTCTTTTGGCTGTGAGGTGTTCAGCCCAGACCTGGTGGCAGCAGCCAGAGTTCCTGCAGAGGACGGAGCCTTCAACGCTGCCTTCCGGGCACTGGACTGGGTGCTGGCCACTGGCATTGTGTCCCTTAGGGGTCAGGGCCCCCACACCGTACGCACCACCATACCCTGTGTCCACCACCTGCTCACCCAGCAGTGGGGAGGGGGCGCCATTTAAGGTTGGCGTCAGGCAGACTGGAGCCGCCCTCTCCTCACGGCTCCCAGGATCACCTGTTCCCAGGACCCCTCCCCAGATGCAGCCCCTCAGGCCGTTATCCTTAGGGGAGGGCGGCTAGCAGAGCCCTCAGCCCCGTGCGGGCACCACCACCCTCTCTGGCCCTTTTTGTGAGAAGGGGGCCTGGGGCCGGCACGGCCGGGGCTTGCAGCCCAGCTTCCTGCTACACTCGCTCTGGGAGGCAGCAGTGATGGTCCGTGCTCAGCCCCTGCCTTCAGCTGGGCACTCGGGAGTGACCCAGCGACGGGAGCCGCGACCCCGGCGCGGGCGGATGGGAGCCCCTGCCTGGCAGATGCAGGTTTGTGCTTCCAGTTGGCCCCACGTGAGCACCTGGCCTGGTGCACACAGAATGAGGGCGGCCCACCCCCAGGGAGTCGTGAGGCCCCCGTGACTGGTCCACCTTTTATTTTAAAAAGAGATTTATTTACTGAAAGTCACAGAGAGCTTCCATCTGCTGGTTCACTCCCCAGATGGCTGCAATGGCCTGGGCCAGGTTGAAGCCAGGAGCCCAGAGCTTCTTCTGGGCCTCCCCTGCTGCTTCCCCAGGCCACCCGTGGGAAGCTGGGGGCAGCCTGGACTGCAGCCGGCACTGACGGCACAGGGTCCCAGAGAGCAGCCCAGAGCACTGCACCGCCCACCTGCCCCTCACTGTTTCAATTTACTGAATTTGGAGACAGCTCCCACCCGCTGGTTCACTCACCGGATCCCGCAGCAGCTGGGGCTCGGCTCTGTCCATGTCCCCACGTGGCGTCGTCGCCTGCTGCGCCCAGGGTGTCGTTAGCAGGAAGCTGGAGTGGAGAGTGGAGAGGGACCTGGACCGAGGACTCGGATCGGGGACGCGGGCAGCCTGCGGCGGCGCAGCAAGAGGTGTGCAGTTCCCCGTCTGAAGAGGGCTCGTGAGGACTCAGTAGCCTGCACACGGGCACACGCCCACACGCTCTGGCTGCCGCCCGGCAGGCCCCAGTGCCCTGTCACCACGGGAGTGGAGGAGGGCGGGGCAGGCCTCAGTGCATTCCTCAGCCCCAGCGCTGCCCCAGGGCACTGACTGTCCACTGAGGAGCTCGGTGACCTCAGAGCTCGGCTATTCCCACGAACCTCGGGACAATGTTCCCAGCGCTCCGGGGACCCGGGGCCTTCCTGGAGGCAGCACCTGACCCGGAGTCACCAGGGTCATGGGAGCAAGGCCCCGCCCCCTCCCTGGGACCCCCCCCCCCCCCACCATGGAACAGGCAGGGGAGCCTCTTTCGGAATCCCAGTTCCCTCAGGGTGTCCTTCCCCAGCCTGCTTCTGCCTCCTGGGAGTCGCGACATCTGCAGCTCCACTCAGTGTGTGCCCCCACAGGCCCACGTGTGGGGTCCCCAGCTGAGTCGGGCCACTCTCGTGCGGGGGCCGCCATGCCTGGTGGAGCAGGGGCACGCCCTGGCCTACCAGGACCCCACTCTGGCTGGGGCCGGTCCCTCCCCAGGAAGTCCCGGGCTCTGACTGGCTGAGGGGGCTTCCTCAGGCTCTGGGTCACCAGCCAGTCCTGACCCCGACCCCCACTCCCAGAGCGGGGAGGCCTGTGGGCGGCAGGGGCCTGCCCCAGGGGTGTCCACTCTGGGAGATGCTGTTCCCGCACCTGTGCTGGCCCCAGCCCTGGTGCCTATCCTCACGCCGGCTCCCCGCCTCTCCCTCCTGGGAGAGCACAGGTGGCAGCCAATCACAGGGCTGGGCCGCACCCTGGCCGGCGTGACCCGAAGGGTATAAATACCCCTACCGAGAAGCCACCTGGCTCGGATACAAGCCGCATGCCCGGAACTGGCAGAGCACACACGGCAGAGGGCGGCTCGCCAGACCAGTGCCACAGGACAGCTGCTGGCAGCCAGCCATTCCTGGAGGGACACCTGCCAGGTGGAGCAGAGGCCAGGCCTGGGCCAAGGGAGCCCAGGAGCCCAGAGCCTCGAAGCCCAGCTGTGGCCCGCAGAACAGACAATGCCCAGGAGCCACTGACCCCCAGCCACCAGGTAAGGTCAGCTCAGCCCGTGCCCCCCCCCCCTTCACCTGTGCAGGCTGAGGGTGGGGGGATTGGGGACAGTTCCGAGGTGACTGCTGCTGTCCCCAGGGTGTGGTGACTCCACATGCTGGATGCCTGGAGCCCCGTGACACCAGTGACGTCACGTGAAGTCACGGTGGTGACTCGGCAGCACCTGGGACTTCCCAGCGAGTGGGCAGTGTGAGGGCTGCCCTGGGGATCTCCTTAGGAAGTGGTGGAGACGGGCAGGGGACTGGGGGCACCCTTCAGAGGAGGGGGAAGCCCGTCCTCGACAGGCAGCTCTGTGACCATGGCCTGACCCCTCGCTGGTGCCAGACCCTTACAGCCAGCCTGTCCAGCTGGTCCTGTGGGCTCCAGGCTTAAACCGTTCGCTCGCCCCTGTTCAGCTCGGACCCCAGGTCCATTCCACACACAGCTGCCTGCAAGCCAGGCCCACACCGGAGTCCAAGCTCAGACTTAATCAGACCCAGAACCACAGGATGCCCGTGAGCCACACCCCACAGCAGCCCCCGGCCAGCTGTCTCTGGGCTGGTGGTCCTGCGCTGAGGCACCCCCCCTCCCCAAGCTGTGAGCGCCATGACCTGGGCCCAGCCTTTCAGAGGACGGTAAAGCCAGGACTTCCTGGGTGGCAGGGCTGGCGGGGGCATCTGCACGACGCCCCCTTCCTCCATCCCCAAGGCCTCTCTGCTGGGACAGCACAGGACCCACGGTGTGGCAAGGGCAGGATACAGCTTATCCTGCAGGCAGAATGTTCCAGGGTGCCCCTAGGTGGGATCTGCGGGGCTGGTGCTGAGCAAAGTGAGGGGGGACAGGGCGGCCTGTGGTCACTCACGGTGCTCTCTGTCCCTAGCTCAGAGCCATGTCCTCAGGCCAGCAGGTGTGGCACACGGCAGTGCCACCCCCGCGCCAGAGCAGCTGCACAGCGGGGGAGCCCGGGTCCCCTGGCACCCCCGGCTCAGAGAAGGTGGCCTCGCCGCTGGAGTGCTCCATCTGCTTCTCAGGCTACGACAACGTCTTCAAGACGCCCAAGGAGCTGGCCTGCACCCACGTCTTCTGCCTGGAGTGTCTGGCCCGGCTGGCGGCCGCCCAGCCCGCTGGCCGCCCTGGCGGGGACGCCGTACCCTGCCCGTTCTGCAGGCAGCCCACGGCCGTGCCGGCCGCCGGGGCGCCTGCGCTGCGCACCAGCCAGGAGCTGCAGGCCAAGATGCCGGTGCACCTGCGGCGCGAGGAGCCCGTGTGGCTCGAGGGCACCAAGCTCTGCTCCCGGCCGCTGCCCGCCACGCCCGGCCGCGCGGCCCCGGGCGTCGTGTGCGTGGACGTGGGCCTCCGCAAGCCTCCCGAGTGCGCCCCGCCGGTGCCCGGCCCCGCCCCCCGCCGCGGTCGCCGGGCGCGCTGCTGGGCGCGCTGCTGGGGCTGGCGGCGCCTGGCGCTGGTGTCGCTGCTGCTGCTGCTGCTGAGCTGTGTGGTGCTCTGGCCCGTGCAGTGCGCGCTCAAGACCGGGAGCCTGCGCTGCCTCCCCCGGCACCCGGCAGCCGCCGCCGCCACCGCAGCCCTCTCTCTCGGGCCTCTGGCCAACACCTAGGCCCGCTCCGCCTGGGACAGCTCAATCTTCCCCTCCTCAGCTCCGAACTGGCAGCCGCGGGAATTCAGTCCCCTCCAAGACTGCCAGGGAGCCCCGACATCCACGGAGACGCGGCGGGATGGACAGCAGGGTCTCCCAGCACCAAGAAGTTCAAGCTCTCGGGCCCAGAGCCTGCCCCGGCCCCTCTCACCGTGCACACTGTGAACCACCTTCCATTCTCACATTTCGCCGCAGACCCCTCCCCAGGCAGGGCTGGCCCCCTCCCTGCCAGACGGGGCAGCCCCCGCGCCCTCCCGCCTGGGAACTGAACATTTTTAAATAAATTGTTTTTTATCCACATCTGGGGAGTGGTTCTCACCCGTGCGTAGGCCATGGTCAGCTGCTGAGGGATCCTGCGGGTAAGACTGCCGAGTTCCGAGCCCAACTCCCACGCTATGCGGACTGCGGGTGTGCGGGGACAGTCTGGGGCCCGCGCCTGCCCCAGCAGAGGGCGGGCCAGCCTGGCCCAGGGGAGGGAGGGGCCTTCCCTGCCCCGCTCGCTGCGGCCGCACCCCGAGACGCCGCTGACTGCGGCGCGGGAACGCATGGCTTGGGAAAGCGGGCAGGGGCGGCCCGCGGGGCCAAGGCCAGCGAAGGCGCAGGGCGCGTCCCGATCACCGCATCCCGCCGAGGCCCTCGCCGCGGCCACACCCCGGGACCCCGCTAACCCCGGCCCCCAGACGAGGAGCCGCTCCCGAAGGCCCCGCCAGCCGGGCTGCCCGTCCCAGCGGGCGACGCCGTCCTCGCCTCACCTGGGAGTCTGAAAGCGGCAGGGCCAGGGGCGCCCGGCCTGGGCGGGGGTTGCGGGCGCGCTCCGACGCGGGCTCCCGAGGCCTTAGCGCCCGGGACGCGGGGCTGGGGGGCGGCTCCGCAACCCCGCAGGCTGGACGGCTCCGCCCACCTCGGGCGCGCGGCCTCCGGTCACCATGGCGACGCCTCGCTGATCCCGCCTCCCGCGTGCGTAGCCGCAGCGGCTCGCGGACGGGTGGTGGGGCCGCACGCGTGGTCGCGGCGGCGGCTGCGTGGTGCGCAGGCGCCGGGGCCGGCCTCGGAGACCCTGAGCTTTGGGAAGATCCGCCCCGGGGCAGCTGGGCGCAGGGTCCACCTGGGACGGCAGTATCGACGCTGGCATCCCAGCGTGTGCGGCAACGCGGGGCCTCCACCTCAGTGACCACTGCCCAGCCAGGCCCGAGTGTGCCCCTGGGGGGAGGGGCAGAACACAGCAGCCGCCGAAGCAGCAGAGTAGCATGGAGCCCGGGGGGCGGGGGGGGGCTGCACTTTCTACTGCGGCTCCCACAGCGGCCCTGGCCTGCGCTCGGACCCGCTGCATCTGCCCACACGGCCACGAACCAGAAGCCTTGGTTCTAGGGCGAGAGCCGCGTGTGCCTCCCTGGCGGGCACCAGCCCCGTGCCCTGAGCGAGGGTGGCGTCCTGGCCGGGCTGGCTGGAGCCGCACGGAGCTCCTGCCGGCCTCGCTCAGCCTCCCTGGCCCTCCTGGCACACCTCTGCCAGGTGGGCCCCCAGTCTGTCAGCGCTGAGTACTGACCCTTGGGAAGACGTTCTCCGGATTGCCACTCAGCCAGCCCTGTGTCCTGCAGGAGAAACGCGGGAAGAGCTGGCCCCATGCCCTTGTGAGCCCGGTCTGAACAGTCTCTCAGCACTCAGCTCTGCTGAGCCGCCCGCCTGGCCTGCCAGGTGCATTCTGCCCATTTAGCCCTGCGGCCTTGCTGTCCCTGGTCTGAGCGAGCAGGCTTGCTCTCGCTCCCTCCCCGCCCCCGATTCCGCCACATCTGCTCTGGAGGATGCCCCGCCCCGTTAAACCTTGCTGCCTTGCTGACCACTGCTCTCTCACTTCTGAATTATTTCTTTATTTGACAGGTAGAGTTACAGACAGTGAGAGGGAGAGACAGAGAGAAAGGTCTTCGCTCTGTTGGTTCACTCCCCAAATGGCCGCCATGGCCAGCGCTGCACCGATCTGAAGTCAGGAGCCAGGTTCTTCCTCCTGGTCTCCCATGGGGTGCAGGGCCCAAGCACTTGGGCCATCCTCCACTGCCCTCCCAGGCCACAGCAGAGAGCTGGACTGGAAAAGGAGCAGCCGGGACTAGAACCTGGCGCCCATATGGGATGCTGGCACCACAGGTGGAGGATTAACCAAGTGAGCCACAGCGCCGGCCCCACATCTGAATTCTTTCTTGGGCCAAGACAAGAACCCACCCCACCTGTCTCCACTGCAAAACCACTCCATGGGTTCAAGTCCCTGTGAGGCCACCGTGTCAGGCTGCCAGCTACCCGTCTAGCCCCAGCCCCGCCCTCTAAGGACCCCAAGACCCTCACTTCTCAGGTGCTGCTTGGAGAGGTGGTGGGGAGGCAGGGATCTTGTTCGTTGCCTGAGCTTGGGCAGGGAGAAGCTGCAAGGACCCAGAGACGACCCGGGAGACGGCCCCCAGAGTCATACGGTGACCCCTCCTTGGACCAGCTCTGTGGCGCCGTGGGTTAAGCTGCACCTGCAGCACCGGCTTCCATATGGACACTGGTTCAGTCCCGGCTGCTCCACTTCCCATCCAGCTCTCTGCTGTGGCCTGGGAAAGCAGCAGATGACCCAAGGCTTTGGGCCCCTGCACCCACGTGGGAGACCTGGAGGAAGCTCCTGGCTCCTGGCTCCTGCCTGGCACAGCCCTGGCCATTCCAGCCATTTGAGGAGTGAACCAGCAGATAGAAGACCTCTCTCTCTCTAACACTGCTTCTCAAGTAAATTAATAAATAAATATTTAAAAAAGCCAAACAAACAAGGTGCCCCCTCCTGACACCTCCGCGTGCACACTGCAGCTGCTGCTTGTGTGCTGGGATCACCCCCCCAGGGGCAGGGCCCCTTCATGGGGCTGGGAACGCCAGCTAGCCCGGGACGCACCCCTGCCCTGAGCCCCTGGGGGTTCTGGAGGAGCACTGCAGGTCCTCACGGGGCCCTGCAGCCACCTGCCGTGGTGGCCCCTTGGGCTGGAGCCCCTCCCCTGGCCTCGGGCCAGCCCCGCCTTTCTCCTTGTGCCCTCAGCTCCTGGATTCCACACTGGGGCTCACAGCTCCCCCAGCCACATCGGGGCCCCACCCAGAGCAGGGGACACGCCCATCCACCTGGACCCCTCCAGGCCAGGACACAGGCCTTGTCTGGCCACCCGTTCACACGGCAGGCCACGTCTGGGCCGGTCTCCTGCTCGATGCCCTCAGCAGGTGCCCTCTTCCTTGGGGCCCTTAGCCCCCTCCCACCTTGGGGTCTGCGCCCCATCCCTGCCCTGACTGGTGGCCACTCCTGTGTGTCCTCTTCATGCCAAAGGCACACCGGGTCCAGCCTCAGGACATGGGTACTTGCCATTCTCCACGGAGGTCTGGCTTTGAGTGTCGGCTGTTCCCTGAGGCCAGGGTCGGCCTGTGCCCAGCTGCCTGGAGTGCAGCTGACTGCCCGGTGCCCACTGCTGGGCTCTCCTGCTTGCCCCCCGCCCCCGCACCTGACACCTGCCTGCTCGGAGCAGTCACTGAAGGAGCAAGAAAGGGGAGAGGACGTCACGGGGGCTCGGCTCACGGGCATCTCACTGAACCCGTGCTGCTCGGCTCACAGGAGTCTGAGGGCAGCCCTCCCCCACTGGGAGCAGGTCAAGGCCAGTCCTGGACAGGTGTCCACTTGCACAGCAAGGCCCGTGGAAAGGCTGCCTGCCACCCCTCAAGCCCTGACTGCCCCCCTTCAGACAGACCGAGGTGGGTCTGTGTGCACTGGGAGGCCCCCGGGGTGCCCACAGCAGGGCGCCCAGCACCCACCAGGACAGGGCCACCGCGTCCATCAGGCCATAGCCGTGCCACGAGGCCGAGCAAAAAGCCACGGACAGGGGCCTGGAGGTCGGGAGGAGACGCAAGCCCACCTCTCAAGTTTCCATACTTTATTTCACGGTGATTCACAAAGACACATATGGGGGGTGTTAGTAACATGATACCATGCGGCCCCCACCACCCCTGCCCCGCCCCCCTTCTCCTGCCTGCTCCCAAGACCACTGGACTGGGGATCGAGGGCAGGGGCAGGGGACGGGACTCTGCAGCCAGTGCTGCCACCTTGCCATAGCCCCTGGTAATCCTGCCACAAGGACAACTGTCCCTCAGCTGCTCCAGGTGTCAATCAAAACCAACCCACAGCCACCACGGCTGGTGGTCAGGCCGAGGTCCCTCAAAGGATGCCAGCCGGCCCAGGGTTCTCATCCCCACTCCCTTCAGGGCTCCCGGGTGTGTGGGGGGCATGGACACGTCCAGTGGCTGGGCTAGGGCTCGGCTGTCCAGCACCGAGGCGGGTGGAGTGCTACCCCGACAGGAATGCCGTTTCCAGGTCACAGTATTGGCACAGGAGCCAGGGAAGAGCCAGGCCCTGGGGTCTAGGCTTGCCCGGGGCCGAGGCTGGCCCACAGCCCATGGAGGACGGAGGAGCAGCTTCACCGAGAACCCGGAGGTGCATCAGGGCTGGTGTGGCTGTGCCTGCTCCGGGACGTGGTGGTGACGTGGGGGCCCGAGAACACATGACTGGCATGGGGACACAGCCCTGTGCCGAGGCTGTGGCGAGCCGGCCCCGCAGGTCCCCGGCACCGGGCGCCTCTGTGGCTCAGCTGTTGGACGGAAGGCGGCCCACGCCAGCAGTCCCTCCACCCACACACAGGCGAGGAAATCATATCAAAAAGCAACAGGTTTACAAAAATAGAAAATAATTACAGAAGGGAGGGGCAGCTGCAGGGCCAGCTCAGGGGGCGGAGCAGGGCCGCAGCTCCGGCTTGGTCACCGCGTCCTCCAGCAGGTGCAGGGGGCGCTGGCCCACCACCACGTCCCGCAGGCAGCCCACGAAGCCGGTGCCGTAGGCCTTGGGCAGGGTCTGGCCCGCGGGCAGCTTCTGTAGGCCCCCTGCAGGACAGACAGCAGGAAGTCACCTTCCTGGGAGTGGGCAGGCGGATGCTCCTGCCCCCAGACGGCCGTGTGAGGACCCTGGGGACTGCAGGCCACGGTAGGGAGGACAGCCCCGCCCCCATCAGCTGTCCAGACGGGGTTGACTCCGCCCCCACCCCAGGGGACCAGAGTCCCTCCTGGCTCCTGTCCCCTGGCTTCTCCCGGATACTCACCGAGCCACAGGGTTCCATCTGTGTCCAGCTGCGTGGCGCCCAGAGGGGAGGAGCCAGTCACCGGGGCCTCGTTGCCCACCTGCAGGGAACCTTCCCTCTGCTCCCTGGCCGGGGGGGGGGGGGGGATGAGACGGTCAGGGGCTCCATCGGGACTCCCAC